TTAAGTAATTACTAGAAAATTGATTTTTAAAAAAATTTAAAGGTTAAACAGATTTGCCCATAGACTTTTAAGCGTCAAATTAAAGAGACGTTTGGTCCATAGATTATAACCATGTGATTAGAATTATTTTCGATTTACGTGTATTTTTTGTGAGTGAAAATACTATAGCGAACTACGAACCATTATTCGAATCAGGGGACAAATCCTCCAACCAAACAACCTCTAATAGTCCCGTACAAATATTGCACTTTTGGTACTTCCATCACAAAGCCCTTAAAAATAGATGGAATTTTCAGTGAGGTGCACATGACACATGACACTTTTAATGAGGTAATATAGCAAATGTTTGTATTCTGCAGAGTAATATCGAACCACAGGAAAAGCGTCTCTCTGTTAATTTTGGTTTCATTGGCAATACATTGTTAGAAGGTGAAGTTTGGTTGAAGAGAATTGAAATGATAGATGCTGCTGTTTTTTGGTTAATTAAAACTTCATTTATTTCACCAATTTGAGTTTTTAATTTTATTTGTTACAGGTAAAAGTTCTCATAAAAAATCACATATAACTTTTTCTACTACAGTAAAAAGTTCTCATATAAAATTACATTTCAACTCGAATTGAAAATTTGAATCCGCAAACTGAATGATGCCTAACTTTTTTGAGATATTTGCACACAAGTCCTCAAATTTTGTAACTTTTGGCATTTTAAGAATTTGGACACACGGTTCCTCAAACTCTTAATCTGTTAGCACTGTTAGTCCCCATTTTAAAAATTTGAACACTTAGGGCTTGTTTTTTTAAAGTGTAACTTGAATGTAGTTTTTGAGTTGAATTTGAGTTATAACTTGAGTGTACTTTTTGAGTTGAATTTTAGTTATAACTTGAGTTGAAGTTGTAACTTGAGTTTGTGTTTGACTGTGTACATTTGAGTTATGGTTTGAGATAAGAATCTTTTTGAGTTTGTGTTTGAGTGAGTCAAAACTTAAATTTGTATTTAGATAGTATTTTAATAAAAACTCAATGGTGATGAAAATTTTAATAAGGTATATGGGTGAGATTTTATTCGTCTTTTCGTTGTCAAGGCATAGAAAAAAAATAATCTCAATCAGGATTAAAATGAAAAAGTTATATCATTTTTAATAATAGAAAAAATATTGTTAATTAATTTGAGTTCGAGTTTCTGAACTCGAGTTGAAGGAAAAACTTGAACTTGAGTTTTAGTCTTAAACTCGAGTTCAAACTTAAAAGAACACGAATTTAAATAAACTTAGAACTCGAGTTAACTTTTTTTGAGTTTTTTAGGCTGCCGAACAAGGCCGTAGCTTCCCAAACTCTTGATTTGTTGGCATCCTTAGTCCCAATTTTAGAATTTAAGCACTTAAGTCCTCAAACTCTTAATTTATTTGCACCACTAGTCCCCATACACACACATATACACACACATGTATTTGTTGTTAAATGCTAGTGATATCAATATGTTGAGACCTTTTTGTGCCACAGGTTTGCGTAAACATATTTCTTTGACCGAAACGTCCTAAATGCTCTCTTTTTTTTGTTGAAGTATAACATGTTACTTTTTATTTGAAAATAAGGTTAAAATGTCTTTAACACAAAGTTAATTGTGATAATCAATAGCAACAAAGCAATTGATTATAAACTGAATAAAAAAAAGGTAAGATGTTCATAAATATCAAGAAAGAAATTGGTTATCCGATCCATTCTAGATAAAATCTTTAATATCATTGAGAATAAAAAAAAAGTATATAATTGGATAGTATGTAATTGAACAACTAATTATCGAATTAAAGTAGTTATGTCATTACGAATTGTTTTTCCAATTTATAATCAATTGCTTTGCTGTCACTATTTCTCGTAGTTAACTTTATGCTAAGGTATTTTGACAGTATTTCTTTATAAAAAAAAAAATGTCATACTAAAAAAAAGAGTGCTTTTGGCGGTCTTTTTGTTTGTGTAAAAAAATGTTTTGGGACCTAAGACACCAAAAGGCCAAATTATATAAATATTTCATGATATTTAACAACAAAATGAGGATGAAGACAATTTGCCAACAAATTAAAAGTTTGGGATCAGAGTGTTCAAATTCTTAAATTGGGAATTAACGATGCCAAAAATTAGGAGTTTGGGAACCTGAATGCCAAATATTATTAAATTTGAGAATCCATGGTGCAAAATTCTTTTTTTTTTTCAGGTGGATTTTGAATTCTTCTCGCAATAAACCATTGGCATTTAAAAATATTTTAGATTTTAGATAACAAAATGCAAGTGTAGAAATTTACAAAAGAGTTGACTATTTGTATTTTGTTTAAAGGTTTCTATCTGAAATTTAGAGAAAATTACGTATATTACCATAATTTTTTGTTATTTTAAATTTGTGCCACTCAAAATAAAAGTTCACGCCACCTATGATTATTATTTTTTACTTATTTAATAAAAAAACATATTTTTACTGTGCAACGTCGGTGCCATAAAAGGTAATTAGTACTATTTTGAATGATATTTTTTATTTTCTATCGAAATCTTAATAGAGAATTAGAGATATTATTATAATTTTTTTTTCTTTCGGTTGGGGACTATTTACAGATATCTATACACATATATTTTTTGAAAGTTATATATATATTTTTTGGTTATTGGCACCTTACATTCTGAACTCTCTTAATTTAACACTTTCAATCTTAAACTTTATTTTTTGATAATTTAAACTTTAAACTCTCTTAATTTGACACATTTAACTCTGAAGTTTATTTTTGATAATCTAAACCTTAAACTCTCTTAATTTGGCACTCAACCGTAAATTTTGTTTTTTAGTAATTCAACGGTGGCGATCAGGGCCGACGATGGGTTGAGGAGAGGTCGGCCGACAACCCACTCATTATTCAAGTCAGTATATAAAAAAAAAACTACTCATCAATTAAATTTTTATATGAACAAGATATTTATCTATTGAACTCATTTAACTTGTAGACATTTTTTCATCACATTTTCTTTTCCATCACTAACCAAATTATTGGAATTCGTTCATCAGCTTGGAGCTTTCTTATTACTAGTGAAAAGTTTCAAAAATAATGGGTGCGTTTAGAATTGGTTCCAAAACGTTTTTGTTTTCTGTATGAAAATGAAAATGAAAACATTTTCATTTTCATTTTGGAATTATTTCTAAAAATGCGTTTGGTAGTTTTATTTTAAGATTGTTTTCAGTTTAAAAAAAACTGAAACTGCGTTTGGTGGTTTAATTTTTAAAAACATATAATAGTATTTTAAATAATAATATATAAAATATACTTCCTAGTAATCTTGAAAAATACGTCTAAAAAGTAAAAGGGATATATAAAACATGATGAACGACAAAAAACCTGAGAATAGCATTAAATTTTAATGCCATTTATTGTACTTTAAAAATGCAGAACCATTACCATCTTTCAACTTCCAAGTGATCTTTACAATAATGGCCGCCTAAAGGAACAAAATGAGCATGATCCAAAGCCTATCAAAGCTTCTAAATAAGTTCCAAAACAACCTTTGCTCTACAAACCCGGTCTTATCCACATGCCTACTCCTACTAGAAGTCACAAAGAAATTGCTCCCAACATCAACAGGCCATTTCAACCCGATCGGAGATTTAAATGTTGGACTTCTTGTGGAAGCGACGCAGGACACCGACGTCGAGTGTATCGATGTTGTCCGGCGGCGGCGTGAGGCGCATCTGGGCGTTGGCGAGGTGGAGGACGAGGTGCTCCCTCTGGTTCTGAACTCTATCGTTTTGGAAGTCGAAGAATAGGGCGAGCCAATCGAGGAGGTCCATGTGAGGGAGCCATTGCGTGAACGGCAGCCGACCGGGG